TGTATGAGCCCCAATAAATTGATTTTGAAAAAAAGACACTGACTGGGTGAGGGTGGGGTGTGTGTATCAAAATTAATTGGTACTGCTTAAGAAAATGTAGAGAGAAGCCATCTGACTTCTAAGAGCAAGGATTCCTATAGGCCCTGTGTTACTGCACAAGCACTGCTAAGTTTCAATAGAAACTTCGAAAACGCCAAGTCACACGAGTAAGCCCTCAGACAACTTTCTGAATTCTGTAGGAAGACACATTTGAAAGTTCTATGGCTTAGGTGGAGAGCAATTGTTTTGAGAATGATGAGGGCAATGAATGTACAAATGTGCTTTACACAATTGATGTATGTATGGATTGTGATGAGTTGTATGAGCCCCTAATACAATGATTTTTTTAAAAAAGAAAGTTCTATGGGAAATGCTGTTTAAGAGAAGAGAGAGATCCAATGTGGGGCAGGCAGAGAAGGCCCACTCCGAGGGGCCAGAACACACGGACCACAGGGCCACAAAGCCATGAAGATGCAGTGTGGTGAGGAAAGGCTAGCAGACAGGGTAAAAATAACAAAACTGGGAGCAACAGTGGACTAGGGTCCTGGGACAGGGCATGGGGGCAGCTCAACTTTAAACTCACAGCTGGTCAAGGTCTCCTATCAGCCCAAAGCCACCCCCCTCCCCACTCATGCTTTCTCATCCTTCATATACTTGGTCTCAGCATCCCCACCCTTCTCTCTGACTCCTTTGACCTTCTCTCACACCAATGCCACCACCCAGTGGGTACCTCAGAAACCCCACCTGAGTCTGTCCTGCTTGCATGCAGTGTGGCTTACCTGAAGCTGGCAGGCGGCCACCAGAGTCTCCTGCACATTGCTCAGGCTAAGCTCCAGCTCAGAGGTATAGATGAAATGCAGGATCTGGCACATGGCCTTATAGGACACACCATGGATTAGCACTTCCTCCTGTTCCATCTCCTTCAGACCCCCAGCAAACATGCCTCTGCAAAACACATTGACAGGACAGGAGTTTGGTTACAAAGAGGGACAGGAATCCCAATGCCAGGCTTGGCTAAAGTGAGCAGACTGGGCGCAGGTCAGGACACTGTACTCGTAGCACTCTGTGACTGGCAAGGTTCGAGTAGCTGTGCTAGGAATGGCCCTGTGTTTGTCTAGGTAGACTAGAGAAACAAATTCATACTCTGATGTGTATAAGAAAAAGATTTATATATAAGAGTAACTGAACATTGAGAAAACATCCCAGCCCAGTCCAGATCAAGTCCATAAGTCTGATATTAGACCATATGTCCGACACCAATCTATAAAGTCCTCTTCAGACTCACGAAACAATGCAATGATGCTGAATGCAGGAAGATTACAGGCCAGTGGATGGAAAGTCTTGTAGCTCTAGTGGTATTGTAAGCATCTCAGTGCTGGCAGTGGTCTCCACGTGGCTTTTCCAGGTCCAGGGTTCTGGCTGCATCAGGGTAGGTCCAAGTGGTTTCTCCTCAGGGATGTCTCGCAGCAAGTCAGCCTTGTCAGTAGAGGGTCTCCAAGGAAGTGATCCGAGAGTGATCCGCCTCCAAGGAGGAAAATACAGTTCCTAGAATTCTCAGAAGGCCATATCTGCAGAGGCCTCATTGGCTATGATCCGATTGACAGACTAGACTCCACCCCTTCACTCTTAATCCTCAAGTCCTAAATTGACACCAGATTATGTAACTACTACAGGCCCCATCTCCTTTTGCCACGTGTCCAGGAAGGCAATGCCAGGAGGCATGGAGATAAGGGCCAGCCCCAGTTTGCCATCTGTTGCTGAGGAAGGGACCAGTTCTGCCACGGAGAAGGGGCCATATCTAATTATGGATGGGACAAGAGAATCTTGTCTATATATAGAGGGGCTTCCAAAAGCTCATGAAAAATGCACTATTAAGTTTTTTTGGAGTCCACTTGTCCATTTTTAAGAGCTAGTTCTCTCTTTCCATCTGGATGGCTCAGATTCTTTCCCCATTTTCTATTAGGCTGGGCACTTTTTTTGGTGTGGATGAGCTGAACTTCATTCTACTTAGTTTTTGGATTGCAGGGTTAAAAGATAATGTCAAAGTTATCGGTCTCTGCTCTTGCTTTGGTGTCAAATTTATAAAGATCTTCTTCTATAATATTAGAAAATATAAGGGGACTTCCAACATTTACGGAAAATTTTTCATTATCTTTTCTTTCCATTTCCCCACTTCATGTTTTGAAACCTGCCCCTCTCTCTTTCCCCGTTTCACTTCACGTTTTTTTCTTCACTAAACAAGAAAATGGTTGAACATTTTTGATCTGCCTGGGAACTGATTTTTGGTTGAAGGTGTGAAACAGATGAACTTTCCTGTCCATTGTCCCTCTCCTCTAATCTGTGATGTCTTCCTGGGCATATCTAATGTTCGTGTTAGGTTTGGGACAGTTTCAAAGCTTTCCATTCTTTCCCAATAACTTGTCTCTTCACATGTAAGGAGTGCAGGTTCATTGAATTCAGCTTCTCACAGGTCTTAGGAACAAAAGTTACAGCCTCACGGTGGGGCCATCAGTTCCCGTGCTGATGCTGACCAAAAGGTTGGAGGTTCAAGTCTACCTAGAGGTATCTCTTGAAAGAATGGCCTGGTGATCTGCTCTCGAGAAGCACAGTTCTACTCTGGAGCACTTGGGGCCATAGTGAATGGGTAGCAACTCAATAGCAATAGATTTAAGTCGTCACCTTTTTTTTTCCTTGGTTTTTCAACCATTGTTTTAAACATGTAATGAAATCCTCATCTTTGTAATGTAGACTTCATCACAAATAAGGCAGGGTCCAGCTCCTTTGAGGGTCTCTTTTGCGAGCCAGGTACTTACCTTTGAAGAAACACAATTCTTAGATGTGAAGTTCAACCCTAGACTTTCTGTATCTTGTTGCAGTTGCAAACAAGGTCTTTCATTCCACTACTCCCTCCACACCCGGCTGTTTTTACACTTTTTTTTTTTTTGAGATCAAAGCCTAGAACCTTATTATTATTATTTTTTAACATTTTATTAGGGGCTCATACAACTATTATCGCAATCCATACACACATCAATTGTGTAAAGCGCATTTGTACATCATTCTCAAAACATTCTCTCTCCACTTAAACCCCCGACATTAGGTCATTTTTCCCCTCACTCCCCGCTCCCCCGTTTTTACACTTTTTACTCTATGACTTACTTTTATTATTTTGTTTCTCTCTTCACCCAAGTTCACAACCTACCCTCTTAGTTTATCTTCTCTGCTGCCACCTCTGGTAATCATCATCAAAGAATGTGGTTTTGTTTTTTCATTTTATTTTTAGAATGTTCTTTTTGTGTGAAAATCTTTTCTTGACTTTTTAAGATAGTAGTTTCAGGAAGTCTTTGCCATTGGTTTAATCTCACTCAAGGAATCCTGTGCTGGCATCGTAGTTGTGTGCGGGGTTGCTAATCCAAGTCACCAGCAGCTCCTCAGAAGAAAGACAGGCTTTCTACTCCTACAAACAGTTCTGGAAACTCACAAGGCCAATTCCACCCTGTCCTGGGGGGTTGCTACGAGTTGGCATTGCCTCAATGGCAGTTAGCTGTTTCCTGTTTTTTATTTCACTCGGCATCTCGTCTTCCAGCATCATCTTAGTGATGAGGTGTTTCAAAGACTCACTATTCTTCTTAACACTGTGTTGCATTCCCATGGGTGTAAGTACCATAGTTTGTTTAGGCAAGACCTCTTTTAGCAGATTTCCATTTGCATCTATGGAGATGGATCTTGCTCTGCTCACTCCACATCAGCCCCAGGGGACACACGCCCCAGTGCTCTGATGACTCAACTGTGTTATCAGGCGGGCCAGTTTGCCTGAGCCTTCCAGGACTGCACAGTCCCGTGTAGTGTATGCCACTTCTAAGCAGTGTCCTCTACTTAGCACTTCCTGTCCTGCTCTGGCCGGTGGGAACTGCAGACAGCCTGATAACAAACAATGTGTGCACTGCTCCGGAGCAGGGTCTGGGCCATAGGGATGACTCAAGTCTGTTTCATCATTTTAATAAGGGATCTGTGGCTTGGCAGAGTATTAATACCAGGTGTTTATATGTGCTGCAGATATAGCAATACATGTACATCAGGAGTGGAAAGATTTTGTTCCTGCTAAGGACCATTTGGATATTTATTCTCAGGCCATGGGAGCATAAAACATTTAATTATCTCATTCCTAATGGGATGGAGAGGAGCCCTGGTGGCATAGTGGTTACATGTTTGACTTTAAAACACAAGGCTAACAGTTCAAAATCACCAGGATCTCCTTGGGGGAAAGAAGAGGCTTTCTACTCCCATAAAGAGTTAGTCTTGGTGTAATGATTACATATTGGGCTGCTAACTGCAAGGTCAATAGTTCAAAACCACCAGTCACTCCTCAGGAGAAAGAGGGTTTCTACTGTTGTATGAGTTATAGTCTCAGAAACTCATAGAGGCTGTTCTAGGTTGTCTTATAGGGTCACTATCGGTTGGCATAGACTCAATGGCAGTGAGTTTGGTTTATTGGGTTAATAAGAGTTGAACTGGTCCTTTTTGGTGAGGCTTGTGATGTATGGCTAAGAAGTTTGATTTTGTAGGTCTTATAGGGCTCTTGGACCAGATGTTTTCCACTTCAGATGTAGTACCTGGTAGAGTACACAGCACGCTTTTTCAAACTTCTTAGCCATGTTTAAATACCTAAAGGGACTGAACCACTGGGTTTGAGGGCTCAGGACTACAGTTTTAGGAGACATCTAAGTTCACTGGTGTAACACAGCACACAAAAACAATATTCTACATCCTACTATGGAAAGAAGAATTGGGATCTTAAAGGCCCCAAGGTGCAGTGATTAGTCGTTCTCTGTCCAGAGCCAAGAAGAGTGCAGAAAATCAGACTCAAGTAAGTAGTCCAAAGGACTAAGGGCCATATGAACCACAGCCTGTAGGACCCTGAGATCATAAGAACTAGATGGTGCCCAATTATGGCTATTGACCATTCCAATGAGGATCAGGATCATAATAGAACATACTAGATAGGGGGGCGGGGGGAGGAAAGGGGGACAAAATAAATTAAAAATCATTAAATAGACCAGGCTTACTGTTCTGAGTCTGGTGGAACCCCCCAGGCACCCCTCAAGCCTGGAACTGAGTCCACCCTTAAGGATCAACTTTCAGCCATACAACAGACAAGCCTATAAAGTAAACACCAAGGAGGAACATACTCCTGGGGAGCAAGAAACCAAAAAGGCCTTTACAAACAACAAAGCCAAGCGGGTAGGAAAGAACAAATGTCAATGGGGAGCCGGAGGAGGATGTGGGAACCGCAGGCAGCAACCAACGTCACGAAACAAAATGTATATAAATTGTTGGAAAGAAAAAATTTGCTCTGTAAACTTTCACCTGAACAATATCAAAATACTTATTTATTTTTAAAGGATCTGTTGGAGGCATGGGCCTTAACTCGACCAGAAGAAGTGGGTTTGAAGCCACAAGAAACACTATGGGGACAATTATAAAAATCTGAGGATAGGCTCAACGTTAGATAAAATTATTGATTTTATCATTCTCAGATTTCTTTCCTTTGTCTGAAGGTTGTCTCTTCACTTTTTCGATAGTCTTTGGTGAAGTAGCTATTTCATTTGTCGTGAGGTCCTACTTTATTTTCTGCTGCTCATTATCTAATGGAGTATTATGCAGCCATAAAGAGAAAAGGAGTTCAGATGCCACAACACGGCTGAACTTTTGAAAACATGCTGAGAAATATACCAGTTGAAGATGGACAAATACCATATCATCTCATTATGTGAGAGCAGCAAAACATACAGAAACCCAAGATTATTGATGGTGTAATGGACTATGCACTGGATTGCTAACTGAACTCACCAGCTGCTGCTCAGGAGAAAGATGAGGGTGTCTGAAGATGGAAACCCAAAGCAGTAGTTCTCTATCTTATAGGGTGACTAGGAGTCAGAATCACA